TTAAACGATTATTTAGTGGCAAGTTATTCAGTGAATCTCAAGTAATAAGCAATTACGTGGAGAACTGTTCAGAATATTAGCTGAAGATTTATTGGATTAAATACTTATATAATTAATATTATGGTTAATAATGTGACAAACATATAATTGTTTAATTGTGTATGGATGTTTTTATTAGTAAGTACTCGACACAACGTTAAGTTTATATGTTATTTTTCCATTAGAGATTATTTGACAGAATAGTAAATTTATACTATGTTTTTCCATTAGACAGTACTTAACACAATAGTAAGAATATATCCTATTTTCCATTAGAAATTACTCGACGTATTACTAAATATAAATTCTCCCAATAATCGATCGTTCACATGTAGTATTTGTTTAAATTATATAGTACCCATTCGTTCATTTTTCCTCTGTACCTTTACCTGCCCACTTTTATTATTTGTATTTTTTATTATTTTAGGAGTAATTAAATATGTTTAATAGTACTATGATAGGAAGACGTTACAATTTTTACTGAATCATCTGGTTTTGATTGATTTGGTTGTTTTTAAGCAGAAAGTTACAAAATGGGTTATCTCTGCTCTGCCCATCATGGATATCCAAAGCCGATTTTTTCGCGTCGTAAGCCTGAATACTCACCGCTGAGCCACTGGTGAGCGAATCATTTATAGAAAGTCAATATTATGTAGGTTTTCCTTGCAATGTTATACACATGTTATGCAACCTCTTTACAGTGTAGAGATATCTACATGCACAGATAAATCAACGTTACTTTCTTCCCTTGATGAACTTGTAATCAGAAGCTTGTTATAGATTAAGATAACATATTTCTTAATATGTAGCAATGTACAGTTGACTCAAAACACTCCTACAGAATTTTACATAACTACCTGGTTAAAGGGTAACTTATTTTGCTAAAAATAACCTTCCAATATTTAATGGACCCAACAGCATTCTTACATTGTTAAATAATATCACAAGATATTTTTACACTGACAATAACCTCTAATTTTGCAATTGCCATATTTTCAATTTTACATTGTTAAATACCTTTACCTTATTTATGTGATTCAATTAATTTTAATGTTGACATTAACTTTCTGAACATTCATTTAGTTCCACTCTCAATGTTAATGATAATCTCTCCAAATACAATTACTTCAACATTATACTGATATTGTTGAATTGTCTGTGTTCGATTGACATAATATCAATGTTAGTAGCTTTATTAAATTTTTCAGCTTCTTACATAGGTTACTGTTTCATTTTCTTCTAATTGCGTACCAAAATTTTGTTGTTAGATAAATTAATCTGAGGTGATATTTTGAATTATCCACAATACTGAGCTGGTTCAGTTTCAAGAATTAGGCTCGTCAAGTTCTTACAATATGAGAACACTTACATTATGAAAATATCCACCCTGACGAAAAACAAACATTTTGCAAGTTATTTCGCTTTATTTTAGAATGTTCTAATATCTTTTAACTTAGCCTCAAGATGGTGATTAAAACTGTACTGAACCAAAATCAAGTATCTGTTAATAGTTAAACTTGCCATGAATTACAGCGCTTAAACAAATTTCCAACTACAACCTGCAAAGAGTTAAAAATCGAAGCTCAGTGCAGATCTTAATAGAGGCTTGTTATATTTCCATTTATGGGCTTAGCTCGAGTAAGTTCTAATGCTAACTTAATCACTTCAGGTAAGAAACAAACTTTTCACAAAATATAGCATCACACCGAAGAAAACTATTTTAACTCACTATATAGCTTCATTCAGGAAATTCGTAATCTTCTTGAATATTCATTATTAAAATTATTGAAATAAGTTACGATTTTCATAGTTAAACTTAAGTATTAATGTTTAAATAGTTCATTGTTTTAGTCCTGCTTCCTGTTTAAAGTTACACTTTTTTATCCATTTTTTTATTTACATTGAGTTTGTAAAATTAAGTAGGATTGGACAGCCAAATCCGTTTGTTTTCAGTTTTATCAAATGTTATTTTACGTTAAAAGCGCTTTATAAACGGTATACTACACTTTAGGAAAAGTACCTGCAGTTAAAAGTTCGTTAAGATTTTGAAAGTCAATACTTATAGTTGTGATGTGAAACATTTTAAGCTCATATTGCCTAACAAAACTGGTAACTCGATACGATTTATACAATACTGTGACACGAGTTTCATATCATACTGGGAGCTCTAAAGCAAAAGTAAATCTAGCATCAGCACGAGTCATAGCCAAAGAGATGTTTCTTTAGAAAGGAAAGAACACATAACACAGTGGGGTGTATAAACAACATTTATTTGAAAATGAGTTACTGCTATTGTTGTGATAAAGAAAAATTCGAAAAGAAACACACTGTATATTATTATAGGACAAAAAGTCGTAAGTACATTCCTGTTTACTTTTCTTTGTGTTTTGAATAAATCGTTATATGTTATACATAGAAAACGATATGAACAAACATTTGCAGGAGAGTAGTAAATCAACAAACAACGATTAGTCCTTACAAGTAGTTGTTTGTTAATTTGCTACTGTATTAGCACAATGCGCTTCCCTGTACATGTATTTTCATGATATAAACATAGTATAGAGCGAAGAAATAGCAAAAATGAACCTATACAAAACACTTAGCTTTTCTCAACCATTTTCATGATATTTTAATTGATCAAAGTTACTACAAAATTCTTATCATAATTGATATTATTTAGCACGTTCTCAAAAATGTATTTATTTTAAATATTCGTGTTTCTATGAATAACTCTAAATAGTATTATCTAATTTGATAGATTTTGTAATAAAGAGATTAGGGTTAAGGTGATTTGAATTGATAGACCTTATACAGTTTCCTGCTTTTCGTTGCATTCCAGGTCTATTTTTTTGCTCTTCGTGCTGTGACTAATGAGGGATAACTCTTAATTATCATAAGCTATTTTGCTTACTTCATACTCATTACTGAATGCGAATATTGGAACTCCTCGGTGATTAGCAAAGTCAAATAATTATATTTTGCATTTCTGAAGTTTGTTATCTTAATTTCAGTTTCTAAAATACGCGTAATTAAGTGTTCAATTTTGTTAAGCGTCTGATAATTTTCTAAGTTTAAGTAAGTGTGAAGGAAACGAAGAAAATACAATTCAGTTGGAAAAATACTAGTTGGGAATTATTTTTCGTGTATACCAACGACTTTAGAAAATGTTTTGCCTTCTCGTATTGATCAAATGTAAAATAATGTAGGTTTTTATGAAACAAAAATTAAAATTGTATTATAAATAAGCGTGGATGGTGCAATTTGGAACTGATCACGTCATGTCCTTTAAAACCTACCAGTTTATTATAGGTTGCGATAATCTTAAGTTTATGATAAAATTTGTAATGTGAGTAGCACTTTTGTTTCTTTCGTTGTTTGAAGTTAAGCATAAAACTACAAAATGGATTATCTGTGCTCTGCCCACGACGAGTATCAAAACCCGGTTTTTAGCATTCTAAGTCCACAGACATGCCGCTGTGCCACTGGGGGGCAGGCACTTTTGAATTGATCAACATCTCTTTGAGATATACTATTTAAAAAAAGCAGAGATACTGTGTGTTTTAAATAAGAAAAGGTTTTAGGAACACTAAACGCCATGTGATAATTAATTGGTCATGGAAGAATGTGAATCATTTGAACCTTTTCTGATGCTGTTCAATAAGATTTAACATTAAAAAAGATATAAGCTAATCTCCTGGATTTGAAATGTATATTATAATAAAAATTTTAATTCGTATATATATATTAAATGTTAGAGTAATTTTATCTCACTTTACTTTTATTAATTTATTCTTATATATGCATCTATGTGACTTTTTTATAATTGTGTGAATTAATATTTATTTGTGATTATTGGCTACGCTTTGATGTTGCTCATCGGATAAATAGTACTTATCTTATGAAGTTTTGATGAATGATTGCTAGAAATTTTGGAAAGACGTTTACAATAGTACTTCCAACCCACGCTTTGTTTGTGATTGTTTATGTTTGTTTGTAATTAAGTACAAAGCTACACGATGGGCTATCTGTGCTCTGCCCAACACGGGTATCGAAACCCGGATTCTAGAGTTGTAAGTCAGCAGACATACCACCGTGCCACTTGGGAGCTGTTATTGTTTAAAGCTGACTTCTCTTCAAAGGCAAGAATAATCTGTATCTTTCTTTTTTCTCAATGTAATCTTAAAGGTATAAGTATTTGCGCCAATTATACACATATATATAGATAGATAGATATCATTTGAGAGTTTAACGATAACGAATCACTTTATAAGGTGCAAACTGTGATAAACTATAATTTTCATATAACATCAACTGCAAGTTGATTTCTTTCTAAAATTAAATTTTTTTTATTCATCCACGTTGAAAGTATAAACAACAAGAAATAGAAAAGTACTGACTGATTTAAATATCCGAACATTTCATCCTAGAATTACTATTTAAATATATTTAGTTCTTAACTCCTGTTAAAAAGCGATGCATACTTAATTGTGTTTCGGACAACACACATATACCTCTTTCATGGTTGAATTAACAAATCCTGATGCTAGATCAAATTGGTTAACTTTTGGTCGATTTGTTTCAAGAGAAAGAAATACGGAGTAAATTGCGTATTTACCAATGGTTTTATCAGCAAACTATAGTATGAATAACATCTAAACCTCTCAAGACTGTGAGCGACACCTCAAATGAAAATTGTAGTAATCCCATAAATATACACACACATATGAAGATTCAACACATTATTATTGCATACATGTGTTGTTTTCTTGATCCACATTCAACTAAGTTATTTAGAACATGAATTTAAAGCATCAAAGTGAGACTGAACAATTTCGCAAGACCGATACATTCCTATTGTTGAATACCCGAGTCTACGCTTCTATCATTTTCACATTCACTCCTTTTCTGAGGTATGTTTTCTGGTGTATTATGACTGTTAAAGATATTCTCACTTTACTTACCGTATGGTTTCTCTTTAGATGCCGGTTTCTGCTTCACATGTGCGCCGAAAGTGAGGAGCCACAGTTGACCAAGGAAAACAAAGCAACATGAAAACTTCAATTCAGCATACATAGTAGATTGAAGTTCATAGAGTTATAGTAATACTAACTGCGGTAAGATTAACAGTGCCCACTAGTCACTGTCCAGAAATCTTAACGAATTAGAGTCTGAAAATATACTACGTTCGCCAGTTCTTGGACTTGCTTATAGCGATACTTACTTGATTACTGTGGTCACAAGATTGACAGTATTTGGATAGGAGGTGGGCAAACATACCTTATAAACGAACTTCACCGATCGATTTTCCTAGCGTCATGTTGGTTGCTCAATAGGTGGCGGCACGTGTTATGGTTTTACAATTTAATCACAATATAAAATCACAGCTTATTGATGAATCCATTTATGGTATCATATTAGATTTACAAAACTTTTGAAGTTAAGCCTACAAATAATATAAAGTGGAAGATAGCAAGCTACAATATAAAAAAAATAGAAGAAATATTTGTTATTGTGGTTGTAATCGTCTGTAGGCCTCTTAATGTACTGTGTATTAAAAGTCTAGGAAATATCTTATAACATTAACGTCAATATCTAGATGCTTAATTTGAGTCGGTATTTTTTATTAAATAGTGCAGTACGATTTGTAAGATATTAAAGACAACTAGAAATATATTGAATAACGAAAACTTTATTTGCCATAAAAAACGTTAAACGCTAAAATGTATTATACCTTGGGGAAAAATAAATTCCAATTTAATTGATATATTAATACATACAGTTTTGTATGTATATATATATATATATGTATGTGTGTGTAAAAAACACATATATAATACTTGTTTTGTAATTCCTTTGAGCTAGCGAATGTGGCCATTTCCACTAATGCTGTATTTTTGTAATAAACTTTACAAAAACGCGATGAAAATAAGAGGGGTATTCAAGCCTTTTTCATGGAAATTATTCAGTAAGCTTCCAAACACAAAATGCCTTTACATAAATTTTTCTGACTGACTGTACCATTTACAGTAACTTATTTTATCTTAATGACGTTAAATGTTGCTGGTATAAAGGTAATGAAACTTACACATTACGTTTACCCATAAAAAAAGCCTTTATAGATAAATAGAATCAAAGGCTTTGCTGAGCGAAGATATATGCTATTTTAATTAGAATAAATTATGAAAAATAACTTATAACTTTGGGGTATTTCTATTCGGCACTCTTTGTTAAAAGCTTTGAAATCAGAAATGTCAAAAATAAATGATCCCTTTTGCCGCCGTGTTACTTCTGTCACGATGCCAAACAATATTTTGATATGAAAGATTTTTAATCTTTCTGAGTTTCTGTTTTTCCTAAAGGATTATATTGTAATAAATATATTTTCCCTATTTTTCCTCAAATTGGGGAGTCTATTATGTATGAAAATGGGAAATATTTCATACATAACACTCACAAGCAGCAAATATTACAATCGTTTAAGCGTGAAGTATCGAATATCCAAACCAACAAATTATTTTATTTTATTTTACCAAACCATATTTACATTTGATGTAATGTAATTTCTTGAGTTACAAAATTATGGAAAACTCAATATACATATACATAAACATAATAGATCAAACCCCAGCACATGCCCTTAAGCAAATATTTTTTCACAATAATTTATTATATTTTTATAATTTGTTTGTTTTTGTAATCAAGCACAAAGCTACACAATGGGCTATCTGTGCTCTGCCCACCACGGGTATCGAAACCCGGATTCTAGCGTGCTACTGGGGGCGTATTTTTATAAAATCTTTAGCGGTGTTTGCAAGGGCAAGTTTCAGAAAGCTTAGAATTATTGACAGCTAAGAGATATGAAGCTCTTTAAATTATAACAGTGATCATTTTGAGAAAATGGTTTGAAATTTTCTTGTTTAAAATAATATCTAATAGGAGAAATAAACTCCGGAAAAATTCAACATATCTCTCAAGCTGCAAATTAATATTTATACACATTGCTTTTAATTTGCCCAGTTCTGATTCTAAATCAAAATGGTGTAAAAATGTAATTTCATATCTATCTATTGCCTCCTACAATCAACATACGCGGGAGTGTGTTGTGCGGCCAAAACAACCTGGGTGTTATTAATAGGAGTGACAGAATAGCAATTTTCCACTTTCTGTAGCTCGGGCTGTGTTAATCCAAACTATGACATATTTTCAGTGGATGTGTTCTACTGGACCCTTACTTCATATATCAGATTTCATTGAGAAATACACGAGATATAAAATCTCCAATTTTGATTGAACTTCTTCTTATTCTTTTTTCTTCGCACCCAAAGTACGAAAACTTTATTTCATATAAAAACATACTTACCTTTCATAGATTTTCGACAAATTCGGTAAGCTGATAGATCTTTACAACTTACAATTAGGTATCAAATTTGGTCAAACTTTAGATCACATGGGCAAAGTTACACAACAAAAATTAATTTTGACCAAAATTTTGCACACGCTTACTTAGAAAGTCGGGTAAGCCATCGGTCTAAAATATTTACCACAGCTTCACTAAAGAGTAAAGATGAACATTTTTTTAGTTTTTTGTCATTCCGATTAAAGATGGCTGATTTAAAGCAGCAAAACTGTAGGTTGAAAGCAGCCGCAGATACATAAGTATTTGTTAGGCCAAGCAAACTAGATTAGCAGTTTATAGCCCAAGTTTTCCAAATAATCATACAGGTGGACGGTTATTATTCATTGCCAACTTTTAAGCATAAATTTGCTAAATTCTATGAAATTCTCCTAATAAAGTGTGTTTAGTGTTACGTGATATTAGATTAATTAGTTATCATAAATAATGATGCTCGATACGGCTGTACTGAGTGTATACGGGTGAAGAGAAGAAACTGTTAATCTAGTTTCCATGGCTCTACTGTAGAGGACGTTATTAACACTGTTTTAGAGAGGAAAAACTACCACCGTATATTTTAAGGAATCTGGTTAATTCTGTAAAGTGTAGGTCTTCTCCAAATAATAGAGTTGTGATACTAAAGCTAATGTTGGTTACTATCGAGTGTCACTTTCTTACTTGCTGTGGTTTGTTGGTGTATATTGACATGATATCTAATCAAAAACACCTAAGTATTTGTTAAGAAGTGTTAATTGGCTTTCAGTCCTTAGTTATCTTTCTGTAATAGAACCTGGATAACATACACACTGCTCGTTTCGTGGTGGATAATAACCTTAAGCGGAAAGCAATATCATCATTAATGAAATTCTACGAGTACTTCAATATACCTCTTGTAGTGAGTCTCATCATATTTGAACCCAATATTACATAAGCTTATTTTAGCAGCAAAATCGTTAATCCTACAGGGCGGAAGACTCTCTTATACTTTGATGGACAAATATATGTATGTAGAAGATGTTTGTAATCTCAGATAGAAAGTACCATAAAAGTCTAAGCCGTGACTATTCTGCACATTTAGCAAGAAACATATAATCTTAGGAGATCTCAAGTAATGATGTATGTGCATATCCGACATGTGTCAGCTACCTTACCATATTTACCAAGCAAAGGTACAACACTTGCCATATGAGCTAAACAATGCTCCAAGTTTCAACAAAATGTTAAGACATTTCGGCCTACTGTATCGTTGTTGCACTTTTTAGACTTTCCATAGGCGTAAAAAATGTTCATATAATATTTTACATCGACTTGTGTAAAGATCATATAAAAAATTAAAAACTCATTTTCACTTCATCTCAATTGATTGGGGTAATTAAGACAATAAATCCAAAATAGTGTTGTGTTGCCAGAATAAAAAACAAAATACTTCAAAATCATAATTCAAACGCTACGGCGACAGGTTAGAAAATACTACGGATACATTTTGAAACTAGTGTTGTTGAGATAATAAAGACCTCGAACCCACAGTAAGACTGGAATATATCCGGGTTGATTTTAAACCCGTAAACCCGTAAAAAAATGTGTTTTCTTGTTAAAAAACGACCGCAAACTCAATATTAAAGAAGAGTTTTTTTTATTTACTAGTGTTGATATGAAGCATTTAACAAAAGTGCTGTATTGTAGGACTACCAAAGACTTCAAACTCAAAGGAAAACCGACGTATTTATGGATCATAAAAACTTAACTCACAACAAAAATTATTTCTTCCTGGGCTAATAAAACGTCAAACATTTGGTATGTTACTTACAGTAATATTATATTCATTATTATGCCAAATTTAATAGATTGGTATAAGAAGTAACTTTTTCATATAACTTTAGGGCAAAAATTTGGATCAAAATTTTCGTTTTGGTTGTTAAATTTCGTGCACAGCTACTCGAAGGTTAAATGTACAAGCCGTCCTTAATTTAGAAATGATAGACTAGAAGGAGGCATCTAGTTAACATCACTCTCCGCATTCTCTTGGTCTGCCTTTTCCAACATACGATCCTACGATTTGCAGATTACTAGTCGAACATCGTAACCACCAGGATATGCCAGGGTGGATCGAAATGAATTTATGTATACGTTGTTCTGTACGTTCGCCCATTTTGTATTCTAAAATGCATTTACTTTGCATTCAATACTTTGTTTTTCATATTTGTGGCCGTGTTTTAATATTATAGCAACAGCACTGTGTTGTTTGTCATAAATTCTTATTATTATACTCGTAGTTATACATTTTCAATAAAGTCTTTTTATTTTATTGGAGAGATGAATTTGTTCAAAGTCACCTTTAGTCTTAATAAACTCAAATAGTTTCATACATTTTTTTGTAGTTATTGATTATATTGTTGTTTCTTTAGTTGTAATAAGTCTCTAACATTTATTGCCATATTCCAGATTGATCAGACCTTTCACTTCAAAAAGTGATTGTGTAACTTTTAGCCATTATTAACTGTTTATAATCGATGTTTTGAGTTACGATGTGATGTCAGGCTACTAAAATTACGTTTTGCCCCTTAAAAAAACAAAAACAAAACTCCATTGCACCCACCCCCTCTTAAGGGTTAATAACGCTAAAATTCGGGACTCGATCTTTGCAGTAGCAACAACCCAAATAATCCTTTGTATAGATTTTTAAATAAGAAACAACAACAACAACAAAAAACGACAACGACGAGTAACTTTTGCTTAATGCTTATCCAGTTTATGTAACAAAACATACTTATTACCAATACAACTATATTTTATACATAA